TAAATCATTAAAATTGAGCTAAAAATTTTTCTTATTATTTACAAAATTAATCCGTTAAAGAATGTAAAAGCAATATTGTACAATGATTGATCATTCATAACTGCCAATATATGGTATTTGCCTTGATCCTACTTGTCATTCACTAAGACCATATTGTAATTCGTGCATTCAACAATTACATTCAAAACATGTTGCATCTTTAATATCATTTGAATAAATTTAATCATGGATTAAAAGCAGAATGAATTCTATACCAGAAATAAAAAAATTCATCAAATTGAGCTAAGACTTAATTAATATTCTTCAATTTGTTAATAATTTTTAAGAAAAGGAAATCAATTAAGAGAATATGGAAAAATTACGAATATCATAATTAAATTTGCTTGCAAATGATTTAACAAAAATAGATCATTTATTATAATTCCCTAATTGGAGTGAGACAAATAAATAACTTCTTGAAATCTTTAAATATTGTCAAACCATGAAAAATATTCATTATTTAGAATTAAGTAAAGATTAACCAGAAAATAAAAATGCATTGGAATAAAATATCCTAGTATAAGTTTAACCTAAAAAAATTAATGTTTAAAAACCTTTAATTGATAATTTTTAAGATTAAAATCAATAATAATAATTAGGATTAGAAAAGGAAGGCTTAAAATAGTAAGAGTTTCCTTAAGAATTAGAAACTGAATTTTGGTCCGGTTCTAGATTCATAAGAACTAAACTATTAATAAACTTATAAAATAATAACTAAATTCAATATATTCTTGATGGATCCATAATAAGAAGGTAGTAATATTTATATTTAAATTAAAATAGCGATTAAATAAAAGATACTTCTATAAGGCCAGAAATATTAACTAACTTAGAGTAGATTTAATATTTATAATGGAAAGGGGACTTTGGAAATAATAATAAGAAGATAGGAAAATGGATAGCTACATGGATGGGTAACACTTTGGATGGTGTAGGAGGATAATACACCAATGATGGAAAAAAAAATGGCAAGTGGAAAGAATTATTTTAGAATTATTGGAAGTTAGCTTAATTTAAAAATATCATAGGGAAGCTCAGGTGTATGAAGAAGGTGAGTATGATAATGATTTAAGAATAGGAGATTGGAAATATAATTATTAGGATAAAACAATGTAAAAATATATGTACTAAATTAGTAATGGTGGTAAATATAATTAGAAAGGTGAGAAGGTTGGATAATGGACAGAATTGAGTGAAAATTTTTGGGATAAATCTTAAATAATTTATAATGGTGAATATAAAGATGGAAAAAAAGTTGGTAGATGGGTGATACAGTATGAAGGAGTAGAGATGTAATATTAAAATATAAAATATAAGTGGTGGTGGATAATATGAGGATTATCATCCTTAAAATATGTTATTCCAAGAATATCCTTATTATTCATTCTTCTAGGAAAGTTTCTAAGTTAAATCATTACCTTTTTCTGCAAACATTAAAGCCAATGATGATATTGCGAATTCGAATAAAAATGGGAAATGGATTGAATTGAGCGATGGATTTTATTGCAATTCGTAAGTCACATATGAGGGACAATATAGAAATGGTAAGAAGATTGGTAGATGGGATATTTGGTGGAAAAAAGATTATGATGATAAAATAAAAGTTTAGATGTAATTATTATAATACTTTTTCAGTGGTGGTGGTTTATATGATGAAGAATATTCTTTTAAGATAGGAAAATGGATTGAATAGAGTGAAAGATTCTGGGATAATTCTTAAGTTATTTTGAAGGGGGAATATAAAAATGGTAAAAAAATAGATTTGTGGACTATTGAAGCATTTGGACAATAAGTGTAAAATTATATTAATATTTAAAAATTTTAGTGGTGGTGGATTATATAATAAAGAAAATTCTAATAAAATTGGGAACTGGATAGAGTTATGTGATGGATTTTATGGAGCTGCATAAATAATTTAAAAAGGCTAATATTTAAATGGTAAGAAAATAGGGAAGTGGGATATTTGTTATCGAGAAAATGAAAACCAGCCTTTTATTTAAATGTAAAATATTACCAATAAAATTTTTAGTGGTGGTGGAGTATATGATGAAAGTACATCAGTGAAAATAGGAAATTGGATTGAATTAAGTGATGAATTTTTTGATAGATCTTAGGTCACATTTAATGGATGGTATAAAAATGGTAAGAAGGTTGGTAAATGGAGTAGTTATTTGAAGAAGAATTATGGAGATTTTTAAAATGTGCAAATGTAAAATTAGAATACAATATTATATCAATTTTTAGTGGTGGTGGATCTTACAATGAATAAGACTCTTTGAAGGTTGGAGAATGGATTGATGTAAAAGAGTAGTTTATTGTGTTCTAATAACTGGTTTATAAAGGTGTATATAGAGATGGTAAAAAGATTGGATCTTGGATGGAAATCGAAATTAGAAAAAATTAGACTAGGGGCATTGTGAATTATGATAAATGAATTATCATAATAAAAATTAAAATAAGTTATAATTATTGTTATTGATTAAGTTTGGGTTTTTGTTTATAAATTGACTAGTTCAATGTTCAATATAAATAAATAGTAATATAATTTATTAAAAATTAACAGCAAAATGATTAACCAGTATTGTTTAATAAATATTTTTGCATTCTTTTAAGGCCCACAAAAAAGTATTAAGTTTATCATATCTATAAGAATTAATCTTATATTTTATTTAAATTAAAAAATATCAAATTTCATTATGTTTTTTTCAATAAATACTTGTTTGGTGCACAAAACGAAGAATTGGATAATCTTTAAACTAATATAAATGATTTCGAAATAAATTAAAGAGTTTATCCTTAGTAATTTCTCCACGATTTTTTTACTTGATATCCCTTTTTTCACTTTGATATAATTTTAGAATAGCAGAAATAGTATAAATATTTATTCTTTTTGATATTAGGATTATTATGGTTATATGTGGTGACCTATCTAATAAAAAAATTACACTAATAGATTAAACTTAAATAGCGAGGTTAAAAAGCAAAAAATATTAACTCTCTCAATACTTAAAATATATATTTTTTGTAAGAATGCAATACATTTATTCATTAATCTAAAATGATATTAATTGATTCCTTAGTCATTATTATGATTGGCACTAATTCATTATATGTGAACTCAACAGTTGGTTGAGTTATGCCATATTATCATTCAAGGATTGATTTTAACCTAAATATATTCTCTATAATTCTTTTTTTTTTACTCATCATCATCATAGGTCACTTTATTTTTTAATTATTATTGTTATTCAAGATATGGTTTTATTTAAATAATTATTTATTGTAAAATAGTGTTATTATCGCAATTTTGATTTAATCACTTCATCTAATGTAAGTTTTAATTGATCTCATTTTTTTGGAAATTATTTTTATTTAATAATTTCTACTTAACATAATATTTATAACTAGTATGAATATGTTAATTTATTCCAATTTAGGATTGTTTAACGAAATCTTCTTTAATATTTACACACTAATTTAATTAACTTACTTTTATTAGAGTTAAATTTTCTTATTTGAATAGGTTAAATTTTTTTTTTCAAGATTTGGCTATGGGAGTGTTAATTGTAACATTTTCTATATTTGTGTTTTTTAATTATTATTCATCCTTCAGATTGATCTTTTTAAATATTTTATTTATTTAATAATATGAGCCATTTTCTATATTTGTAAGAAGCTTAGGCTTTGTTTCTCATTTTTTTTTTATTCATAATCTTATTTTTCTTAAATTATAATTGACTATCTTAGGTGTATTAATATTATTTTTTCAGATGTTTGGCTATTTTCATAAATCCAATAAATCTGTGAGTGCTTCTTCTAATAAATTGTTTAATTTTTTCATCTTAATTTGAAAAGAAAATTTTATATTTTTAAAAATTTGCTTGACCCTTAAGGCACCAAAAAATAGAGATTTGAATTTGATAAAACAATTATATTCTATTAATTTTTCTAGGCGCACGAAAAATAGATTTGAATTGTTAAAGAAGTTTTACTAGGATGATACATATTTTAATTAGCTTATAGTGTATTCTCATTTTAATTTTTGAAGA